AATGGAAGAGAGAACGAGAGGTTGACGTCCAACAGAGGGAGGAACTTATATTATAACTTTTTTTATTTTCATAACATTTATTTGTGGCGATCTCAAATGAATTGATTTCCGTGCTGCTGCACTGATCTACTGAACAAAATAACAAAGATGTCCTCAAACCCTGACCAGTCGATGACCCGTGATTATGATTAATAAATCAGATTTTGTACATTTTCTTATCAGTAGAACAAATTTAAACAGATGTTTTTTTTCGTCCTATTTGACTTTTATTTGTTGTTAATTTGCTCAGCAGTCAAACCACAGCAGCCTCTGTCGTCACCTTATGTTGAGCCACACGTGCTGTTTACCTGGTAACAGCAAAAGGCTAATCAAACATGATTGATCAAACAGAAGGCGGGGGGGTCGGGGGTGTGGGGGGGGGTCGGGGGTGGGGGTGAGGGGGTCTCTCCTCCTGTCTACAGAACGTTTCCCGTCTGTACAAGATGGAACGTGAACAATGACTCATTTTCTATGAATCTTTTGACAGGTTTTAAAACCAGAATGAACAGGTTTGTTGACCTTGAAGCAGGAACAGCAGGTGTCGCTGTTGGAATAGATTCTACCGTTGGTACTGTTTGAATTTGCTCTTTGACCACCAGGCTGTGCTGATGGACCAAATTCTTGAAAAAGCCCTAAAAAAAATGAAAATAGATTTTGTATCGCCCGTCAGTTTGACATCAGTGCTAACATGCTAACATGCTAACACGCTAACACGACTGATCCTTGATTTTCTGTAAATCAACACCAAACAGACTCCTTCGTCCTCTTTTCCCCGTTGGGTCATTTAGGGGTTGTCATGGTTACCGCCTACAGGAGGAGACTGAGGAGCGCTCACATCCCTGCCCCCTTCATTAAAATCCATCTTATTGATTGGCTACGATTGTATCTCCCCCTCACCCCCCCCCCTCCTCCTCCTCACACTCGTTCTGCTGGGTAACCAGAGAGAGAGCCCGACAGGAGCCGGCTCACGGTTGTTCGGTGCTGCTGTCACTCAAAGGTATCAGCCAATCACACACTACACAAGCGTTTCAGAGGGACGTCACTGGTCAGTGATGTCGAGGGAGGCCGCGGACTTTGATTTGTGGCGACCAAAAAACCCCCTGTGCTTTTTTTTTTGTTAGTCAGTTATTTTTCTGAGGACTCAGATCTGTAGGAGCTGTGTGACTGTAGTGTGACTGTAGTGGGACTGTAGTGTGACTGTAGTGGGAGTGGGAGTGGAGGGGGAGGAGTCATGAACACAACTGTACCATGACTGTGTTTGTCAGGGGGAATTTTTTATTTTTTTTTCACTTGTAAATGCCCTTTGTGTTGTGTACAGCAGGGGGCCCCGTAGGTCTGTGTTGATATTCATGAGGTGAGTGGAGCAGCTCTGTGTGAGTGTGTGTTGGTGAGATTCACTCCAGCTTCAACAGATTGGTGTATTTACACAGACCTGTGAGGAGGAGCGTCGACTCACACCTGTTGGTTTCCATCCAATCAAATCAACAGATTTTTTAATCATCCTGGTCGACATCTGTGGCTGTAGAAATAAACAGAAGAAGAAGAAGAAGAAGAAGAAGAAGAACCATCGCTTCACAGACAGAGTCAACACTTTGACAAAAACCCTGCACGATGTCTTAGTTATTGACTGTCTGACTGACTGTCTGACTGACTGACTGACTGACTGACCGTCTGACTGACTGACTGACTGACTGACCGACTGACTGACTGACTGACTGACTGACCGACCGACCGACCGACCGACCGACTGACTGACTGTCTGACTGACTGACTGACCGTCTGACTGACTGACTGACTGACTGACCGACTGTCTGACTGACTGTCTGACTGACTGACTGACCGTCTGACTGACTGACTGACTGACTGACCGACTGTCTGACTGACTGACTGACTGACCGACTGTCTGACTGACTGACTGACTGACTGACCGTCTGACTGTCTGACTACATCAATATGAACGTCCTTTCACTGTTCACTGTTTGTGTGATGGCACATGGACGAGTGGACGAGTTTGTGCGTCTCAGCTGGGGGTTCTTTGTCATTCCTGTCCTGCCAGCGGTCCGTCACCCCCCTGATCCCCCCCCCCAACTTCCTGAAAGGTCACGTCTCCTGTTGTCTCGGGTGACATTTAGGCCTGAGTTTGTCTGTTAGAATTTATTCCTTCACTGCATCACACTATACAACCCCCAACTCCCCCCCCACCCCCCCACTACCCATGTGCTCTGGCAGCTGACAGCAGTGGTAGACTTGGAAATGTAAACTTGACACCAGTTTGAATCAGAGCCTTTTTTCTTTTTTATAGAAAAGACGTTTCTTTTCAAAGACTGATACAGAGGGTTTATGATTCACAGAGTTGATGATTTTTTTCTTCCATAGCGAAAACGTATTTACAACATATTTTACAAAACATATTTGAAGTCCTTCTTGTAAATGGAATTTGTCTTTATAATGAAATCAAGGAGGAAATATTATTTATAATGTTTTTTTAAATACATGAATTATGAAGTCATTTTCTCTTCAGGAGGATCGGTTCCACCTCATTTGTTTTCTTGTAAATTCATTAGTTTTCTCACAGAATGAGGTTCATATTCTCACCTCGACCAATCAGCAGTCACGTGGATCACTTTCAGTCGCAGCTACAATCATTTCTGTGAGTGGGATTTAAACCCGTGGCAGCAGAACACAGAGCTGTGTGTGACAGATTATTACATCACAGCGTTGGTGTTGACGTTCCTCTCTGTCTGTCGTAGAGAATCACTCAAACGGAAATAAAGGCTGTACTTACCACTGCTGCTCAGCGCTGCTTTAAGATTGCACCCTGCTCTGGTCAGAGTCTGTGTTTCTTTCCGCCCACTAACTGCTGTTTGTGTCACAGAAAAACCCTGGGCTAGAAGAGCTAGAAGAGCTAGAATCAGTACGTTTGTGTCACTGACCAAAGCAACGCACAGTCACCGCCAGGAGTTTCTGCAGTTTGTTTTTTTTTTCTTCTCGACGTGTCAGAGGTTTAGAACATTAAATGAAACCTGTTGACTTTACCTCACGAGCAGAAATTCAAGAATCAACAAACGTCTTAAAATCACAATGTTTGTTTTTCAAACAGTCTCTCAGTTTTTTAAAGTCTCTGCAGTAATAGATCTATTTTTGGCTCCGTGGGTTTTTATAATTAAAGTCTGTAACATGGATTTTCTCAGAGCCGACAGTTTTTCCTTCGTGAGGTTCAGGGTTGTTCCGATGAACGTCCAAGCAGCTGTTTATGAGGCTGAGTGTGATTTAAACCTTTAATGACAGTGAATCAACTCTGTGGTTCCCAACGTCAACTGGGTGGAATATTTTTAGGAAGAAAGTCACAGTGGAACTTATGAATTTAAGTTGGGTTTTTTTCCCGTGCTGCTGTTGAGTAAAGATTTCTTTGTTGCCCAAAACAGTAGACGACACCAGAGGTTGATCACCAAAAACAACAAAGACATTTTTTTGTTTGCAAGGAAGTTGAAAACGCTCCCGTTTATGTTTGCAAGGAAGTTTGAAAACGGTCCAATTGGATGGACTGTAATCACAAACATCAGAAACTGTTGGTTTTCCCACGCTTCCTGGAAAACCTGGAAAACCTGGAAAAAATGACACATTTTCCAGTCATGGAGAAAATATCAAAAAATGAGGGGAAAAAATGTGTTGTTGTTTCACACAATGACTTGTCTGTTGTACTGTAGCTGTTTATAATGTCCTGGAAAAGTGGGGAGGGGCGCGGAGGGGGGGCTTTTAAGAAACATTTACAGAAATATTTTCATTTTAACCCATAAATGTGTCAAATAAGAGAAAAATTAGTCCAAATTGTTCAACAAACAGATAAAATTCAACTGCATCGTGGACGTGAACCTAAACGTACACTGTGAAAACACTAGTTTTTCTTCGTGTCTTGTTTTTAGCCTCCATGCTAGCTGTTATCTTAGCTGCTGTCGCTTCATACTCACTGAATTTAACTTTTTTTTCACTTCTGTAAATTTGGACTGAGTGAAGATTTAAACATGCAGTAACACCGTTCATCCTCCAGTGCTGTGGAAAACAACCAGTTAGCTGTTGTTAGCTTATTTGCTAACAGCTAGGCGTCAGAGAGGGCGGTGTCCTCGGCTCTGTGCGGCGCTGACAGGGGTTGTCGGGGCGACCGCCTGTTTCACCACGGGCTGCTGTGAAAGAGTCTTTTCTGCTGAGACGAGAGCTCCCACTTGACAGCAGTGAAAAGCTCTGCAGCTGCACCCACCAACGCCGGCGCGTGCACACAGACGTGTGTCTGTGGGCGGCGGTACGACGGCCGAGCTACGTCCTGCTCTGCCAACCTTTAAGGTGTTTGAGGCGACTCCTCTTCTCCTCCTGCCTCGGCCTTGGTCGTAGAACCAGGGCAGCGTGACAGTGTTTGTCTTCTGTTGAGGAGAACGAGTCGTGGGTGATTGTTTTTTACTGCCGTGTGTGTCATGAGCGCTCATCTCCAACCACTCAGCTCAGTGGTCTCAAAGTGAGGGTGACGGCCTGGTTTCTGTCCAACAACACTGTTAATATAAACTTTAGTACCTGGTTAGGATGGAGACCATAAGCAGCGTCTACAAACACTGGGAACGAGAGAGTTTTGACTTTTGTTCCAACATAAGCAGCGTCTACAAACACTGGGAACCCCCCCCGTCACTGTCTTCCTCTGTAGTTACAGCCTCCTCTGGTCTCCCTTGTTGAGGAGCAGCCGGGCTCTCTGGGAAAAGCCCAGAGCTGCGAGTGACAAGTTTGACTGAAACCTTTCATGTCTTTAAACTGTTCTGAAGTTGTTGGGTTTTTTTTTTTTTCCTTTTTTCCAGGCGTTCCTCTGTAGACTTGTCCTACTTTTATTCTAGAGTTTTTCTTTCTAAAATGATGTTCCTCTTCTAAGTGATTGTAAGCCTTCATCTTGTTTCCGTCTCTGTTTCTTGTCTCCTCAACAGTAAGCATGTTTCTGAACACCCTGACGCCCAAGTTTTACGTGGCTCTGACGGGAACCTCCTCCCTCATATCAGGACTCATTTTGGTAAGACTTTCTGATCATCACCTGGACGGTGGACTGTTGTCAGTAAACACCTGCTAATACTGCAGTACCTGCAGTACCTGCAGTACCTGGAGCTACTCTGTCAGATGTGTACTCTGGTGTTGCGTCAGCTCAGCTCCACTCTTCCTGGGTGACTTAATGAGGCTGGATGTCATTTGTTAGTGGTTTAATCACAGGTTCAAAGGCCACGAGAGGCTGAGCAGAGAAAATCCATACTCATTAGGTCAGTAATGAGAGGAGGCACAGAAAAAAGAAAAAAAGAAAAGAAATCAGTCAGCCTCTGAATGTGTCAAAGAGAATGTGAAAGGAGGGAAAATCATCCTTTAATATAGTAGAAATAAAACCCTGTAGTTTAACGACAACTGGACTGTCAACGTAGAGAAAACAGTCAGGTTTGATTTTTAATATTTTTATATATATATTTATATATTACGTGTGTGTGATTTATGTATATATTGCATATAAATATATATATTTTTATGGATATACAGTGGTTCACCACAGAGGTCACCCTTCAGTTGGACGACGCAGCTGTTCTTAGGACGAATCAGATTAAAGAACAGTCGTCGTTTGGAAAATTCACCTTCAACTTCTCAGCTCGATTCATCAGTCATTGGTTGTTGTACATCTGTAGGTCAGTGTTGGTCACTACAGTACCACCAATGGTACCTTAAACCATAGTTTGGCCACCGCCACACTGTCACCAGGTTAACTGTGTGTTTCCTGTGGAGTCACATGTTCTTTGACTTGAACCTGATTGGACTGGACTGAAGCCTTTGAGTCAGAGTGAGTTAGTGTTTGACAAGGACACACACACACACACACACACACACACACTCAGTCAGTCAGGGTGGTTTTCAGGAGCAGCTTCCAGTCTCACTCTAGCGTCTGATTGGTTCTCACTACTGCCACCATGACTCAACAGTCTTTGGTCCACGGAGGCAGCACAGCGCCTCCTCTGGCTGGAGGTCCACGAGTGGAGACATGTTGTTAGGAGTGTATTTGTTGACCTTTCTTGACATGAACCCACGTGATCACTGTAGAAATGTATCGTACCTTTAAAACCAGGAGACAGAAAAACATCACTGAGTTCTTATTCTCCTCCTCCTCCTCCTCCTTCTTCTCCTCCTCCTCCTCTTCCTCCTCCTTCTTTGTCTCCACAGATCTTTGAATGGTGGTATTTCAGGAAATATGGGACGTCCTTCATAGAGCAGGTGTCTGTGAGCCACCTGCGCCCCCTGCTGGGCGGAGTCGACAGCAGCTCACCCAGCAACTCCAACACTAGTAACGGAGAGGCTGACTCCAACAGACAGAGTGTGTCTGGTGAGAAGTCGTCCTGTGTCCACCGTGACTGGTTAATCTGTTAGGATGATGAATAATCTGATCATTAATCTGATGAATAATTAGATTTTTTTTCTTACATCATTCACCCTCTTATAAGTGAAACACACAGAACAGAATACACACCGTCAGCAGTTTTTTTTCTGGGTATAATAAATGGAATATTCTCCTAATCCTCCAGATAATCTGTTTGAATATAGCTGACCCCCCCCCACCAACATCAGCTTTTGTTTACAGCTCAGCACAGTAGGATTATACAGATGAAAAGAAAGTGTTGAACATTTTCAGACGGACTGATCTTGTCACGGCAGCCGTCGACTCTGGATTAAAATCCTCGTCTTTACGTTCAGAGAGAAGACGACGTCAGAAACAGAATAATGACGACTTGATAAACCTGAGCCTGTTTAGTTGAACACAGCCCTGATGTACTCAACGGGACTGAAGAAAGATGTGCACCAGAGTTTTAACAGCCAAGTCTGTCTTTCTTCTATAGTCATCTGCTGCCACCTGGTGGAAGAAGCATTTAATTGTTGACCAAAGACAAACTATTTGCAGTAAATAAATAATAGTTTTCAGACTAATTAAGGGAATTTAAATAGTTCTCTCCTCCACACCTGGAAACTATTTGCAGTAAAGACCAGTGACCACTGACCACTGACCAGTCCAGTCCAGTCATGTGGTGATGGCAGCAGCAGTCTGTGTGGACGTGTTTCAGTCCTCCTTCCTGTTGTCACAGAGGTCAGTGAGTCGGTCAGTGAGCTGCAGGGTCGTATGGTAGAGTTAACAGTCACTCTTAGAAGTGCACCGGGGGGGGGGGGGTAAAGGGGAGGGGGATCGTTGGTCCCTCTGCCCTTGACGCTCATCATCACCACTGTTCTTCTTCTTTGTCTCCGTCCTCTGCTGCAGAATGTAAAGTGTGGAGAAATCCTCTCAATTTGTTCCGAGGAGCGGAGTATAATCGGTGAGTGACGGCAGATGAACGCTGCCTCCTCCTCCTCCTCCTGTTCCTGTTCCTCCTCCTCCTGTTCCTGTTCCTCCTCCTCCTCCTCCTCCTCCTGTTCCTCCTCCTGTTCCTCCTCCTCCTCCTGTTCCTGTTCCTCCTCCTGTTCCTGTTCCTGTTCCTCCTGTTCCTCCTCTTGTTTCATTTTCTCTCTTTTCTACTCCCTTCCATCTACCTCCCTTCACATTCCTATCATTCGTTCTCCTTCCCTTCCTCCTCCTGTTCCTGTTCCTCCTCTCTGTTGATCAGTGTTTGTTTGTCATGTTCACTCCCCGGCCTCCTGTTTGTCATCTTTATCTCTCTGATCCACCTCCTCTGTATCTTCACCTCCTCTGTATCTTCTCCTCCTCCTCCTCCTCCTCCTCGTCTGTCTGTCGTTTCCTCCTCTGACTCACTGTAACGATTATTTCTCTCCTAATCCTCCACTTTCTCCCCTTCATCCTCCTCCTCTTTCCTCCAGGTTTGATCTCAGTTTCCTCTGATCTCTTTCTCTCCCCTTGGATCACTTTTATTCTCTCCTCTCTCCCCCGTCTCCCCCGTTTGATGAGACCTCCCTCCTGGTCTTGGGCCTTTTTGGGCCTTTTCATTTGTCTTGCTGTGATGTTTTTCTGTCCTTCTCGTCTTCTTGTACCTTCACCCACTGCACACAGTCGTTCAGAGTCAAATTCTGCTTTTATCAAGTCAACACACCTGCTGAGTCTGCGTCTCCTCCCTCCTCACCCTGACCCCTCACCTCTCACCCTGACCTCTCACCCCTCACCCTCTCCCCCCTCACCCTGACCCTGACCCCTCACCCTCACCCTGACCCTCCTCTCCTGCGTGTTTTCATTGTGTGGATCAGAATCAAACACTTTAAATTCAAATAGAAACTGTCAACATTACGTATCAATGTTTCCACTCGTGTTTCTGCACAGATATACATGGGTGACGGGTCGAGAGCCGCTGACCTACTACGACATGAACTTGTCGGCGCAGGATCACCAGACCTTCTTCACCTGTGACTCCGATCACCTCCGACCCGCCGACGCCAGTGAGTGAACGCGGCTGACCTCAGAGGAGTGACCAGTGATGAGTGTGGTCTTTGAACCGATAACAAACACCTGGTACTAACGCCCCCTGTCTGTCTGTCTGTGTTGTGGCAGTAATGCAGAAGGCGTGGAGAGAGAGGAATCCACAGGCTCGCATCTCCGCCGCACACGAAGCTCTGGAGCTGGAGGAGTGAGTTCAATAACATGGTTTAAGAATCAACCACAAAAACATGCTGTATTTTCCAGACTACAAGTCGCAGCAGTGCCCTCTAGTGGCTGTCAGTGCAGAAACTAACAGTCGTGAAATTATATATTTGATTATTTATGTCGTGAACCCAGACAAGGGATGAAAAAAAAAGTGCGACTTTTTCTCTGGAAAATACAGTAAAAACACACAGTTTTCTCCCCCCTCCCTCCCTCCCTCCCTCACTCACTCTCTCCCCCCGTCTCCCTGCAGCTGTGCGACGGCGTACATCCTCCTGGCGGAGGAGGAGGCCACCACCATCATGGAGGCTGAACGTCTGTTCAAACAGGCGCTCAAAGCTGGGGAGGGCTGTTACCGGCGCAGCCAGCAGCTCCAGCATCACGGCACACAGTACGAGGCCCAGCACAGTGAGTGGAGACTGGGGGGGGGGGGGGAGGTCAGGGGGGGTTCAGTCTGGGCTTCTTTGAACACTCCGTCACGTGTGTGTGTGTGTGTGTGTGTGTGTGTGTGTGTGTGTTCTCCCAGGAAGAGACACCAACGTCCTGGTGTATATAAAGAGGAGACTGGCCATGTGCTCCAGAAAACTGGGCCGAACACGAGAAGCTGTTAAAATGATGAGAGATGTAAGTACACACCCTGTCAGCAGAGGACACACACACACACACACACACACACACACACACAGAGACAACGACAGTTATTCAGTCACAGATATGGAATTAAAAAAAAACAATTATCATGTTGTAACAGTGAAAACCTGAAGTAAAATCAAATCAAATATTTGGTAAATACTGTTCTTTAACTAGTACAGTCGCCCCCTGGTGGTTCCCTTTGTTACTTCACTGAGTTTGAGTGACAATGAACAGCAGTCATATATGATGGGGTTCAGTTGTTGTTGTTGTTGTTGTTGTTGTTGTTGTTGTTTATTGTCAGGACATAAAGATGATTTAAACAATTAAGAGAAAATTGTAGAAAATAAAATCACAAGTTAGCTCATGTCTACTGGCTGTGATATACTGTGAATGTGGCGCCCCCTGTCTGGTGTTACATATAACAACAGTTGTGTGTTTTCCAGTTAATGAAGGAGTTCCCTCTCCTCAGTATGTTCAATATCCACGAGAACCTGCTGGAGTCACTGCTAGAACTCCAGAACTACGCTGACGTCCAGGCCGTACTGGCCAAGTACGACGGTGAGACACACACACTCACACACACACACACACACAAATATACAACAATGTCGACTGAACTTCAGCCACAAAATTGACTGTTAAATTTCAGCCAATCAGACGAATGTTTTTGAGGAAACTAAAACCATTTCAGCTCCACACAGACGGCTGTGAAACTCCACCGTCTTCACTCTCTGTCCTCCAGGCTCCTCTCCATCACCTGTAACCCCCCCCCCCCCCCCCCCCGCCCTTTCTCTCATGTCTTCTCTCTGTCTCCTCCACAGATATCAGTTTACCTAAATCTGCAACAATATGCTACACAGCAGCCTTGCTCAAAGCCAGGGCGGTGTCGGACAAGTGAGTATCAGTTCAGGTCTGAGCTGCTGTGAACACTTCAGTACAATGATGAAGACAGTGATGAAGACAGTGATGAAGACAGTGAAACAGCCTGCAGTGACAGAGACCCTGTTACGGCTCATTGTTACTGTTGTCATTGTTCCACGTTCTACTGTGACACGGTTCTCTTAGTGTTGACAGACAAAACAGAACTTTATACATTTAATGTCTTACACCGTCCCCTGATGGAGCCATTGTGTCTGTGTCTCTGTCTGTGTCTGTCTGTAGATTCTCTCCAGAGGCAGCGTCCAGACGAGGTCTGTCCACAGCAGAGATGAACGCAGTAGAAGCCATTCACAGAGCAGTGGAGTTCAACCCTCACGTTCCCAAAGTGAGCAGTCACCCCTCTGACCTCTGACCTCTGACCTCTGGCCTGACTAAGTATAAAGCTAATGAAATGTTTCCTCCTCTTCCTCAGTATCTGCTGGAGATGAAGAGTCTGATTCTTCCTCCAGAACACATCCTGAAGAGAGGCGACAGCGAGGCCATCGCCTACGCCTTCTTCCACCTGCAGCACTGGAAACGGGTGGAGGGGGCGCTAAACCTGCTGCACTGCACCTGGGAAGGCAGTGAGTACAACCATCATCAACACCACCAACAACAACAACACCATTAACAACAACAACACCATCAACACCAGCCTGTGTCTCTAAGAACCTCCTGTCTGTGTCTGCGTCTGTGTGTGTCTGTCTGGGGG